ACCCCTGCCCCGAACATGCAGCTCCTCCTGCCCACTTGCCTCAGTCCTTCCTCCCAAGCTCTGCTCCAGCTGTTCCTTCTGCCCAGAGGCCCTCTCCTCCCTTCCACCCAGTCCTGTTCCAGACTCGGCCCTGTGTCCCTCCCTATCCTCCGTCCTGACCAGCCTCCCTCTTTGAATGATGCACAAGGTCTGGGCTTGTGCCCTCAGGCGTTGGCATCTTCCTGTTATTCATCAATACATTCAATCAATGAGTGAGCGAGTGAGTGAGTGAGTGCACGAAGCCAGAGCTCAGCTGAGGAGCGATGGTGGGGGTGCCGGTGGCGTTGCGTGGGAGCCTCACCTGGTCCCACAGGGCAATCTGCCGGTTGTTCCACCGCGAGGTGCCTGTGGACAGCAGCTTCTTCAGGTTCCCCAGAAACAGCACTTTGTTGGCGCGGTGCCCCTTGTAGCTGGCTTCCTGGAGGGACACGTGCGGTCAGAGACGCCCTTGCCTTTGCTTACGCTGCTGCTCCACCTGCAATGCCTTCCTTCCTCACCCCAACTCTGCCTGGAGAATCCTTCCAGGGCTACTTTTCTGAGCTGCAAGAGGCAAATGTTGGCCCAGTTCCATGCTCTTGTTGAAAGATTATTGAGCACCCACTATATGCAAAGCATGGGGCTGGGCTATCTCATTTAATGCTCTGAGGGGAGAGACTCAGCCCATTCTTGCAGATGAGGAAACAGAGGCTTGGACACCTAGAAGTGCAGCCTAAGGTCATGTCTCATAGCGGATCAGCAGCGGCACCCTGAGGTCTCCGACCCACGTCATGCGCTTTGACGGAGCTGGGGCACACTGACAAGTTTTGTCATGAGACCAGGTTCAATACTAGCTTTCGATGGGGGCGTGTCGCTTAGCCTCTCTTCAGCCTCAGTTTTCTCATCTGAAAAATGGGGGTAACACGTGGGAAGGCTTGGGCAGAACTTACGTTACTGTAATGAACAGCATTACGGCCCTGTTCTCAGAAGCCTCCACCATCTCCACTCCACTCCTTGCTCCTCTGACCCCAAGCCAGACTCCAGCCTAGCACTGACCTGGAGGACGGTCCCTGCCCGGGGGTCGAGAACCCGAATCTTGCGGTCTTTACAGGTGGTGGCCAGCAGGCTGCCGTTGGTGTTGAAGGACATGGAGAGGATCACGTCTTGGTGACAGTCAATTGTCTTCACGGGGCTCATGATTACAGACTCCTTTGTATCCAGGTTCCAGACCATCACCTGCGCGGCAAAGAGCCGGCTCTGAGTACAGTGGCCTCCCCGCCCCTGGCCCCCAGAGTCACACGCCGGCCGGGCTGTAGTGAAACATGGTATCCCCCGGAGGGAAGCCACAGATGGCAGTCTGGCCAAGAGGCCTCCGGTGGGAGGATGGGTCTGCGGCTGGAAGCGGCCACGTGGTGGGAGGGGAGAGGGGAGTCAGACTGTCTTGGCCGTGAAAAAAAAACACCACCATCTGCCCGTGCCTGGGAGCAATGAAACCCCCACGCTAGGAGGACCTGGGGGACCAGCGCGTCCAGGGGGTTTCCAACAGCAGCTCCCACCTCGCACAGACAAACAGGACGGCCATGTCTGGCTGCACAGGCTGTGTGCCGCACGGCTCCAGGGCAATCCATTCCCACAGCCTGTGATGTGAACAGTGCCCCCTGGCGTTGTGTACAGGAGGACCTGCACAACCCAAGCTGTCGCCCTGCAGACACACCCTCACTAGACAGATAACGAGCACTCCAGTCTGAAGGGGGAGAGGGCCCTCCCCACGGCTCCCATTTTATCCAGCACCGAGGCCCCTCAGCTGCCTCAGTAGAGCCCTATAGAGCCGTGAAGGGAAGAGTTGAAAAGCCACATCTGTGGTCATACCAACTCCATCTGTGTACAGATTGAGACACTGAGGCTGGAGAAGACAAAGACTTTCCCGGGTCACACTGCAAGTCAGCGGGGAGTCGGAATAGAATCTCAGTCGCCCTCACCATGGATTTTCCCGCCTCCACAGGGCCCAGCCCACCCCTCTGGGCAGAATACTGGGTGAACAGTGTCCTCCCTAAACTTACTTCCACCTGGAAACCTCAGAATGTGGCCTTATTTGGAATAGGGCCTTTGCTGATGTAATTACTGTGGGGCTTTGACTTACGAGTTTAATTCGTTCTGTGACGGGGCTCGTAACTCAAATTACTTGTATGTCAAATCATTAAAGTGAAAGAGTGAGACAGGTGATGCTGGGCTGATGTTGTGGCGTTCACTGTGACGTTCGCTGCGCCAACTAGCAGTGGGGTATCTGAAGCTGGCTAGTAACCCGAATTTTAGCTCGCAACTCAAAGCAAAAAATCAGCCGAGAGATGGCTCATATCTTAAAAAACTCGTTAGTCGGGACACTCGTAAGTCAAGGCCCCACTGTAGTTATACTGAGGGAATACTGACTTTGAGTGGGCCTAAATCCAATGGCTGGCGTCCTTTTTTTAGATTACTGGTTTCAGAGAGGAAGGGAGAGGGAGAGAGAGAGAAACATCAATGATGAAAGAGAATCATTGATTGGCTGCTTCCTGCACGCCCCCCACTGGGAGCCAAGTCCAAAACCCAGGCAGGTGCCCTGACCAGGAATTGAACCATGACCTCCTGGTTCATAGGTTGATGCTCAACCACTGAGCCACAGCAGCTGGGCTGACTTATAAAAAGAAGAGAAAACACACAGACACACAGAAAAGGAGGCCGTGTGACAACGAAGGCAGATTGAAGTGATGCGGCCACAAGCCAAGGCGTGCGGGGCGCCACTGGGAGCTGGAAGACTCACAGAAGGATTCTTCCTCAGAGGCCCCGGGGGAGGGCCGGCCTCCTCGTACCTGGATTTGGGACGGCTAGTCTCTGGAACTGTGCGGGAGTGCCTTTCTGTTGTCTTCAGCCACTCGGCGTGGCCATTTGTTGGGGCAGCCCCAGGGAGCTGCACACGGACCCACCTTGTAGTCATAGCCGGCGCTGAAGAGGATGTTGGCCGCTGTGGGGTGCCATTCCACCAGCCCCACTCTGCGGGCGTGGCCCACCAGCTCCTTCCTGTAGGCTGTGAAGTTCCTCGACAGCAGCTGCTTGGGGATGGCCCAGATCTTGATCTGTCGGGGGTACATGGCCCAGGGGAGTGTTAGCCGGGCTCGGCCTTGGCACCCCACCACCCTAAGAGCTGGCAGTGGCCAGCAGCAGGGATGGGGGGTTCGCTCTGCACCCACCTCTCACTCAGTGGAGGGGCAGCTGGGGCACCTCAGAGGGCCGGGCTTTGTCAAGGTCCTCCCGCCCAAGCAGGGGCTGGCGTTGACCAGAGATGAGTGCAGCCCTCCCCATCAGCCCCCCGGTAATCTTTGCATCCTAATGACCTGAGGTAGGGGGAGGGTAGATGGGCCACAGGCCTGACTCTCAGGCTGGGTGTCAGAGCAAATCTGCCTTCCAGCATAGAACATCCCCCAAAGTACAGTGGTCTCCTCCTGCCCCTTGTCTCAAAGGCCCGGGGTGGAGCCTTGAATGGCAGGAGGAAGGGTTTGTGCTGAATCTTCAAGGCACTAGGGAGCCAGCCAACACAATCTCTGGAGCAGGACAGGGCAGACCCTTCTGAAGGGGCCCCTTTTATGTTCCTCAGCATCCCCTCTTATGGAAACTTAGGATTTTCTACCTGCTTATCCTGATGAACTGGTGTGTTTCCTTTGATCAGAAGTGAGGGTTCTGCAGTCCATTCTATTTCCCTTTTTGCCTGGACTGCCAGGCAGCTCTGAGCTAACGCTAGGGCTCAGTAGCTGCCACCCTCCATTGCCAACGTTTCTAGTATTATTTCCTCACTTCCTCCACCTGTGGCCGCTGCACTTTAGAGAACTGGCATTGTGCAGTGGGAATAGAAGTAAGTCCTCAGTTTGAGGTCTGGCTCTGCCTCTACAAACGGTGTGATGTCGGGCAAATAGCTGTACCGCTCAGATCCTCGGCTTCTACACATCGGAAAATTGTTCGACCTTGTGAGGCTGCTGTGAAGGGAAGACTGCGTGAAGTGATATGTGCAGTGAGGAACACAGTGGGCTCACAATAAATGGTAACTATGAAATGTATCCTTACTTGAATCACCTGATCATATTTGTGTCTTTTGTTTTAAGCTATACCCACCACATTTTAGAAGTGGCCTAGGCCGAAACCAGTTTGGCTCAGCGGATAGAGCGTCGGCCTGCGGACTGAAGGGTCCCAGGTTTGATTCCGGTCAAGGGCATGTACCTGGGTTGCGGGCACATCCCCAGTAGGAGGTGTGCAGGAGGCGGCTGGTCGATGTTTCTCTCTCATCGATATTTCTGACTCTCTATCTCTCTCCCTTCCTTTCTGTAAAAAATCAATAAAATATATTTAAAAAAAAAAGAAACCATGTTCATTAACAAATGCCATTCGTTTATTCAACAAGCACTTAACGAGTGTCTGCTCCATGCCAGACGGTACTGTTAACACCGAGCCCCGGGACGATCAGAGGTGGGTCTGAGCTCGAAGGCAGTGAATACTCACAGAACA